TTACATGCATAATCACAGATGTGGATAGCAGCGTACAAGCTAGTTGGATTTCTCACAAAAGTGGGGTGAGTTCGTTTAATTGTATCATGTATACCTCAGCGCAGGACACAAATTCTCTGTAGACATTCATGCGCTTGTTTTGGACACTTGATATTGGTTTGGATTTGCTGCATTTCCAAAGGTCCCACATCCCACAAACTGGTGAGGAGCCAGCAACAACTGCCCTGTGCCCATGCGGACAGCTGAAAGGAAAAGCATCTGCATGGGCTTCTCTTCCAAAACAGAAATTAAAGTTAGGCTCTTCAATGTGAAGTTTAGGTGACCTCTGTTGGGCTGCTTAAATACTGAAGCACGGAGTGCCTACACATCACATTGCAATCAATGGGAGCTGCAAATATATCAACACATGGACTGCAAATTACATATTCTAGTCGTTATCATTAACAGTAAAATACCTGCTAATTAGCATGGGAATTGTATGTGACAGGAATAGTAGTAAGCATTTGCAGGAATGATTAATTCATTTAAATTACATGGTGTGCCTCACTAACTGAGAAGGTTCTGAAAAATGAACCAGTGAACTGGCTTCTCTCTGGAGTGAAGTTACTGCCTGGCATCACCAAATTAAATTGTTGGCAGGCTAAGTGCTCCAAGAGAGTTCATTACTGGCAGCGCGGCTATTCTGCAGACAAGGGGCAGAGAGATCCCCTCCCCTGGTCAGCCAGCATGCTGCCAGATCTGCTTTTGAAATGAGCAGCAGGCACTGGGTGGTTTCTACGGACACTTCTTGGTCTTCCGGGTATACCCTGAAATTTAAATTAAGTAAAAGCCCTTGTGAAGACTTGTTAGTAACTCCTGCTGTATATGCTGCCATGTTAATTGGCTGGTCTTTTACTGCTGATGTTAGTGACCAGAATATGTAATTCACAGTCCACGTGTGTAGGGTAAAAAAGGCTTCTGTGGTGCTGTGATGTTTGGATAAATCACATCTCCTCGGGCAGATAGTGAACGGGAGGCCCATCCCCTGGGGCTGGGCATGCCATGTTTAGCTCATGACATGTTTAGCTAATCCCCTGGCTCTGGCAGAGCTGCTCTCACTAAATGCTCACTGCTCCAGAAATCCCACCTTTTAGCTCTGAGGGTTGAGGAGGTCTAAATGACCTGAAGGCAATGTGGGACATGCAGATGGGGCTTTTGGTCCTGTGCCAAGGTCAAATGCAAGTCCCACATCTGAGAACTTCATTTAATCTTTCATTCCCCTGCCTTTCCTTTGTTACAGTGTGATGAAATCGGGACCTTCCCTTAAGTTTTTGTTCTTTATCACTTTTCATTTTATCAGTAAAAGCCACAAGGAAAATATTTTTGACTGAATAAGTTTGACCTTTCTGTCCTTTATGGTAATTAGCAAGGGATGCTATCCTTTAAATATTAACTATTAAATTAAATTTTGCACTGAAACCGAGTTCATAAAATTCATGTTTAAATAGATGCAGAATTATATTTTGTCCTGAATAGATCAGAGGAAAAAAAAACAAAACACTTTTTCCTTGTATCACTGAATTTATCACCACTTTTGAAAATTAGACAATTAGCAAGCACATCCATACAAAGCAAACTTTTATTTGTGATTATTACAGCTCAGGAGAAACCAAAATTGTGTTGAGAAGATTAAATTGATCTAGAAGCTCTTGGAACCTCCACGAATTGAAATCATTCTACTATAAAATCATAAGAAGTCCAGGTCTGCATTTGGATTAATCAATGTAAATTTATCAGTCTTCCCAACCACACCAATCAGTCTCACAGAAACTAAAGTCCATGCCTAAAAGCATTTATTTTTTCTATACATACATAGGCATAGAGTCATGATATACTTAATACTTTGAGAAGAGAATGAAGTTTCCAGTTGCCTTTAAGATTAATAAATCTGGATTGCTGTGGAGCAAGAATCAGAGAAGGTACCAGAGGAAGGTTGCCCTGTAGAGCCTGCTGCCAGCAGGTCTTGCTGCAGTATGTCTGCAATGAGGAGATGCCGCCGACTCGGGGCATAGAGCAACCCAGTTGAAAATAAAGCTCCAGCACCTTAAACTGTCTCTTTTCATTCACTGGGAAGCGTTGCAACCATTAAGAGAGTTCAGTGATTTTTAGGCACCCCTTCAGCAGTGAACCACACTTCAGAGTTGCAACTAATTTTTACAAGAACTGCAGCTTATGAGCTTTAGGAAAGTCAAGACCCAGTGGTCATTTTGCATCAAATCCCACAGCTAGAAATGTTGTTAGTGCAAATAAAACCTTCTGTCAGTTCCTCACCTTCATCAGCATTAGAAATTTAGCCAGAGCGAGCTGGGTCTGACCTTGGCCCTAACATCCTTTTTTCCATATGATTGAAATATTTGAAGAAAGCAGAGTTTCAGCTTTGTGGCTCGGGCTGGTCTCTTCCATTTGGTTCTCCTGAGGCAGGTGAACTCATACGTGCGCACACACATTCTTGCCTTACAGTGGAGCTTGAGGAGGAAAAAAAATAAAGAATAAGGGGAGGGGATAGGACTTGGGAAAGGACATTATCTCCCAAAGACAGCTGATCACACACTTGTTTTGCATGGAGAGATTCTAGTGACAGGTTTGTCTTGCTGGCTTATTATTCCAGTTTAAAGTTATGAATATTAATATAGCAAAGTTATAATTACTTCTATTTTTAATTTATCTAGGAAAGATGCTGCATACACAGTGTTTTAGATGTTAATTGTTTTTCACCGACAGATTGTTACAAGCAAAAGCAGAAATTTGGGTGATTATGGATATGAAAGGAAATTAACATTGAACATCCGTTCAGTGGGAGTTAATGATTCTGGAGAATTCACATGCCAAGCAGAAAACCCTTTCGGAAAAACCAATGCCACAGTAACCTTGAAAGCACTAGGTAAGTAGTTCTTGTAGAAATCTTAACATTTCTAGGAGAAGGAGGTGGAAAGTGAGAATACTGGGGAGCCTTCTCTTCCTTCTCTCTCCTTCCCCCCAAACCTCAGTGAGTAAAGTCGCTTTATTAAGAGTTTGTTGCTGACTGTTACCATATGGGATGGCTCAGGAAGTGTTGTGGTGTGTATGACTACTTTACTTTCTATAACCCTTTGCATGTTACTGGAATGTGATATTAGAACAGCCACCCAGCACTGCTTCCATCTCTCTGTTTTGTCTCATCCTTCCTGGTTTAATTTTAAATTTAATCCGCTCTTAACGAAGCAAGTAATTTACCTTTGCCTGGTACTGTCCCTGTGCTTAAGTAATTTGGCAGCACAAAGCACAAAGCATATCTTTAATAGCTGCCTCCCAAGCATGGGAAATTTCACGGACATTACCATGTCAGTGTTTTTTACATAGAAGCTATATATGTACCTCTATTTAAAATAATGCCATGAGGAACATTGCAGTGTGCGTAAACAGTATGAAATTGTTCCAGAGTTCACCCCCGTGGTAAACCCACTATCCATCACTTACACAGGTTTTGGATCATGTCCCTTAACAGTGAGTGAACACCCTCCCTCCTCTTGTTTCATAACAGACGCGTTTAGAGTCTGCTGTGTATTAACTTGGGTGACATACAGCACCTCTTGAATTTTAAAGCTGCCGAAACCTGCTAATTTGATAAATTAAGGACAATTAAGGGCATGTTGGTATAGTTAATGAGATCATTCTGAAGAAGTCTGTGTAGTTGGCTACAACCGTTTCAGTTCCTCACTGTTCAAGGGTGTAATGACTGAGGGAAGTGTAGCCTGGCATCCTTTTTCCTTTTCAAATCTGTTTTTTTGTTGCACAGATACTCCTGCAACATTCCTTGTTTTGCTTTCCCTGTTAACTTAAAGAAAACAGGAGTGTTTGATCTATGCAGGTCAGATCTTCAGAAGAGAGGCAGAGGTTAAATTTGCTCCGCCGTTCGAGAGGGTAGGGCTCATAACCACGGGGACATTTTCCACATTTTTTTACAGGAGAGACTAAATTCGTATGTAAGAGTGAAACAGTGTGAAGTATGAAAGAAAATCTTTTCCCCAAGGGGGACAATATGAAAGCTTTTATTCTAAGAGGAGGGAAGTTCTTAACTACATATTCTACATATGCAAATGTGGCTTCAAAAAGAATTGACTTAGGAAGGTCTGGGGACTAAACTAAAGCATGGCATTATAAAAAGTAGAAAATAAAGAAGTTTATATTTAGCAACATGCAAACTTTTAATAAAAAATGCATAGAAAAGCTGGAATCCTTCCTTTTCAAAATACTTTTCTCTCTCCACCCTCTCAAATTTAACTTAAAATAAAAATAAACTCTGTCTTCTGGGTGCCTTTCACCATTCATTGTCAAACTGACTATATTTACCTGAACTATGCCAGCTCCCAGGGACCTGGGAAGTGGTGTATAGCACGTACTAGAGAGATCCTGGGATTGGGTCAGATCCTGAATTGCTGTGACTTTAACATTAGCCAAAAGGTTTACAAGAAATAATGGATATTTTTGGTAAATTTCCTAATGACTTTTTTTAACAGTGAATTTATCTAGCTGTAAACAGTTTCTAGAACTGTCTTTCAGGGACTGATAGCACAATTGTAAAATTTTATTTGCAGGCGCTTGGGTACGGTTTTGAATCTAGGTTGCATAGGGATCCTGTGTTTATACAGAAAATAGAAAAAAGCTCTGTAAAGGAACTAAAAATCTTCAGTTTCCAGATTTAAAATCTTTTAATCTTTTATAATGATGGAGAGCATTTTAAAGCATACCTGCCTTCTGTGCGTTTACTTCATCCTTTCTTCTCCGAAGCAGCTGTCAAGTGCTCTGGCAACTCCAGATGCTTTCACCAATCCGTCCTGGCTTCAGTTTTCTTGAGCTCAGGTGCCCAGCTGGCCACAGCAGTTTGATTACTAGTGGGAAGAAGCAGGGGTCCGAGACTGACTTTTGGTCTAAATTTAAACTCCTTCAGTAAATGTGTTTCCTTGTAGTTGCAATCTGCCTGTCAAACTGATAATTCCCTTATGAATTTGTGTAATAGGACTGAAAAATTTGTCTTTTCAAAGTGAATAATCCTGAGGCTGATGAGTTTATTAATAAAATTAAAACCATGGCAGTAAGAATGCTGCTCCATATGATATTTTGGAATGGACTGCACGATAAATGGTATCTGCCACATAAAAGATTAAGACCCAGCAGGAGATGAACAGAAGTACCGTAGTTTAAGACAATTGGTATCCAGGCCTGTGGACTTAGCACATTTTTTCCTAATTACAGGTTTTAATAACTTAATTTGTAATGTCGTTCTTAATTACACTTGACAAAGAAACCTTAAATATTCTAGTATACTGTCATAAATGATCAATTTATCTTGCTTTTTTTCATAGTGTTTCTTTTGTACCAAACATTTAACAACTCTGAGTTTTGGAAAAATGTACATACGTGAGTAGAAGCAAGCACATGCTTGCATTTTTCCAAAAGCAAGTGGAGGGTATTTATCACCAGAAGATGGAATTATTTCTGTTAAGGCACTCAAGGCTGCTTTAAGACCTGTGCCCCATTGCTATATAAAGCTAGTGGCCTTGGTTTTGGCAGGTAAGGGTTCAAGTTCTGCTTTGTAGATAAAGTTTCCTGTTTCACAGTTGGATGTTTGATCACTAGATCTTGATGTAGTCTTAAGTGTCGTTAAGAGTACTGACAATCTTCTAAATGGCCCTGAAATTGTTTTTCTTCTCCTCTTATGGCCATCAGCTAAAGGATTTGTCCGTTTGCTTGCAACAATGAATACTACAATAGATATAAACGCAGGACAAAATGGAAATTTAACAGTTGAATATGAGGCATATCCAAAACCGAAGGAAGAAGTCTGGATGTACATGAACGAAACATTACAGAATTCATCAGATCATTACGTCAAGTTCAAGACTGTGGGCAATAACAGGTAATATGAATGACTGTAAGTGCTGTTGATTTCACTTTGGAACAGCAAACTAGAGTCTGCTCTGGAAAGGTGAAAGTGGAGATGGTGAGAAAATTGTGATTATAAAAGATCTTGTAGTCCATGTGGCTTACCACAGTATCTGGTGCAAAGTCTGCAACCTAGATTTGGAATAGCATTGAGCTAACCACACCATCTGAGACCCAGTGGGCTGCAAACTCACGACTCACCTACAAGATGCTATTCCTGCCCAATAAGCAAAAATAAGAATGTAAAGCTGTTTGCGTGCAGAGACTCTTCACCACCACAGCGGAGCCCAGTGCTCTGGACAGAAGTTTGTGCTTTTAATTTCTGCTGTGCACTGTTCTCTCCTGAGCCCTGGTCCTCCAAAAATCTAGTGTAGCCCCTAGCACGTGTGACCTGGGTTGTGTATCTGGGTTCCCTCCTCAGCAAGAAAAAGAGCAGGCGGTGGTGCATGCACGGGGTCCGAGCCTGGTGCTGAGCACCAGGCATGCATCTGGGTGTTAGAAGTGGCAAAACTTTTGGATACTGTAGTGCAAAGGCAGTTGTAATGCAAGATAAGAGTGTCAGCAGAAGAAGACAGCATGCTAACAATTCACTCCTTAGCTTTTGTACAGCAATTCATTGTTCACCGCAAGTTGTGAGCATCAGTAATGCTTAGTTTTTTTCTTTACAGTTACAGAAGTGAACTTCATCTTACCCGATTAAAAGGAACAGAAGGAGGCATTTATACATTTTTTGTGTCCAATTCTGATGCCAGCTCCTCTGTAACATTTAATGTCTATGTGAAAAGTAAGTAAAGTGAACAGTCTGAAATATTTCATTATCACAGTCATTGTATTTTATACAACATCATGTATGCACAAGATGTCACAGTGTGGTTCAGCATATGAGAGGCTTTCTGAAGTGAAGCACATGCTGGAAAACTATTTAAATGTCAAGATATAAAAGTGCAGAGTACTTACACAAATCCACCTACTATCCAGCATGACCTTCCATTCTAGTGAACATATTCCAGAGGTTACTGGAGAGCAGATAGATAGTTTATAAAGTAAAAAACTGCAGCACCTGGAAAGAGGATCTCAAAAATAAGCATGTACCTAAACCTTTGATAATTTAAAGTGGAGCAGGCTATACAGGGATTATAATTTGCATTTTTGGCAGCCAAGTTAAATTATTAATTATCTTTAATTTGTGTGAGTTGGATGCAGAGTTTGAAAGCTTGTCAGGAGAATTATTCACTTGTGCCTTCTGACGTCTAACTACTTCTGTATAATAATATATAGATCTCCATTGTGTTAGAGAAATCTGCACAGCTTTACAAATGTGTGTGCTGTTGTCTTTGGGACACGCTTGTTAAAAAAGATTGTAGGTCTCAGTTCCAAACAGCATTTTTCAAGACAAAAGCTAAACTTCAAAATGAATTCAGTGAAACCTTCAGGAAACCCTGTCCTTCTTAGGAGAGCCATCCTGTTAGACAATTTCATGCTCTCAGCAGACAAATATTGGCAGCTGCTAAATGCCAAGCTTAAGGAAAATTAAACCAGGAGGGGACTGCAGGCAGACTGGAGAAACTAAGGCGAGGTAGACAGTGATGCCTTCAAGCCTAGCAGGAGGAACTGTATAGAAAATGAGTGAATGTGCTGCAAGCACGGTTCTGTGTTGCTGCTATGCTTCAGCAGCAATGTGTCCTCTGGGTATAGGCTCATGCAAAGGACTGTTGAGACTTCCAAAAATGCACAAAATCCTAGATATTAATTTCTGAATTCTTCTCATTTATCACTGAAGGTCAACATTTGTAGCATTGCTTGTTAGCAATGCCATAGTTTAGGTCTAGAAATGTCACCTGGGCTTCTTTCAGAACGTGGCATTTTTTCCTTCATCTGTGAATGCTGTCATTGTGTTCTTGGACCTTTTCTGTTCCCTAGCTGTGATTTCTGAGATGAGGGCACTGGTGACCTCAGATGTCCTTTGCCGCCATGGATGAGTGCGGGTTACAGTCACAAGGGATAATTCTGCTCTTGTGAGGAGCAAATTGTTGAGCCAGAAGTTTAATTTCTGGGAAGGAAAGGGAGGAATTGCCAGTTGCCTGTGGAGCTGTCAGTTCAGATGAGGCTGGATGATGTTTTCCAGCTGGCACCATCATACGTGTGCTTGGAGCAAGGGGCTGTTCATGGGCTTCCCACCTCTCCCAGCTTCTGCAGTCTGCTTGGGAGCAGTCTGGTCACAATAACTTAAAATCTAAAAACTTGAAAAGTTTTTTCATCACAAGGTGTCAGTTCTCGGTGCAGAGCTCCATGTTGCCACTTTTGAGGAATACGCTACTTAATAAAAGCTGAATACCCCTGAGGTCATGGTTAGGAAACAGAACAGCATGGTGAAGCAGTATGGCCAAGGCAGGAGGGAGCACGAACGGCTTACTTCTTCTGAATTACTTGTCTGTGCAACCAGCAACATTCAAGTTTTCTTGCCTCTTGCTTCAGCTACTGGTCTTGTAAGTAGTAAGATCAGCCTTGTGTTGCAATGAAGACATTTAAGCCGTCTCAGTAGAGTCCAGGTTACCATGCACTGTGGCCCTGGGTGGACTGCAGACATTGCTGAAGCAGGTGGATTTGACATACTTGACTCAAAAAGAGTTTATTTTGGCATTCTGACTAAGCTCCTGAAGTATTTTTTTTCATTTTGAAAAGAGGAGGTGAAATGGAATGATCCTTCTAGGGGTTTGTTTTTAAGAAAAATAACCTTATGTTTTCAGTGTCTTGAGGTGCTCATCATTTAGGTATGAAACACAAACTGCACGACAACGTACCATATTATTTGACATTGTGAGTCATGTGTGAGTGGGTCAGATCCTGATCAATTGGTGTATCCTAACCTGACATTGTTGTCAGCGGGGATCTCGCATAAATTGCTGGGATGTAGCTCGTGATGTTTACACATCTGGCTTGGGCGAGTAATCAACAGAAAGTAATCAAACAGGTAAAACAGGATTCATAATCAGGAGAATGTCTTCACATAAACAAAAATCAATGCTGAAGCATTTGCTGAAAGATGTGAAAAACTCTGTGCAGAAATGCTTGCCTTGGATTTAAACACATTTAGCAATTGCATATGCTAATCTGAAACAATACTGAATTGCTTAAAGAAAAAAAAATGTAGTCAGTCATAGTAAATGTGACATAAAGTAAAGAAGGAAGGAGTTCTGAAATAAGGAGCCAAAAAGAAAATTACAACTTGACAAGCAGCATGCCAAACTGAGTTACAATTAAGAAACTGGAAAAGTCTCCAGAGTGGCAGGGTACAGTGCATGTAACAATTAGTGGAGGAATCTTCCAAATAGTGTCTGAGTTTAGTGCAAAATAATGTCTGGGTTTAATTATAGTCAACAAAATATTACCTATGCAGTTGGGGCTCATGCTACAAGGAAAAAAATGGTCATGGTATTGCAGATCACGTGAAGTCAGGCTCAGCGATTTTTCTGTCAGTGGAATATGCAGTGAAAAATGAGGAGTGATGGTATAAAAAGATTTGTTCCAATCCAGAAAATGTGTCTGCAAGAGGAAAGTT